AAGTCGCCGGTTCTCATCTTCCAGCTCCCCGGCTACTCCGCGTACTAAAGTTGTACTAGAAACTCGCCAGTTCTCAGCTTCCAGCTCCACAGATTGCTCCGCGTACTAAAGTTGTACTAGAACTTCGCCAGTTCTCAGCTTCTAGCTCCCCAGCTACTCCGCGTACTAAAGTTGCACTACAACTTCGCCAGTTCTCATCTTCTAGCTCCCCAGCTACTCCGCGTACTAAAGTTGTACTACAAAGTCACCAGTTCTCATTTTCCAACTCCCCAGCTACTCCGCGTACTAAAGTTGTACTACAAAGTCGCCAGTTCTCATCTTCCCACTCCCCAGCTACTCCGCGTACTAAAGTTGTACTACAAAGTCGCCAGTTCTCAGCCCAGCTCCACAGATTGCTCCGCGTACTAAAGTTGTACTAGAAAGTCGCCAGTTCTCAGCTTCCAGCTCCCCAGCCACTCCGCGTACTAAAGTTGTACTAGAAAGTCACCAGTTCTCATCTTCCCACTCCCCAGCCACTCCGCGCACTACAGTTGTACTACAAAGTCGCCAGTTCTCAGCTTTCGCCCCACTCCCCAGCTACTCCGCGCACTACAGTTGTTGCACTACAAAGTCGCTATTTCTCAGCTTCCAGCTCCACAGATTGCTCCGCGTACTACACTTGTACTACCAAGTCGCCAGTTCTCATCTTCCAGCTCCCCAGATACTCCGCGTACTACAGTGGTACTACAAAGTCGCCAGTTCTCAGCTTCCAGCTCCACAGATTGCTCCGCGTACTACACTTGTACTACAAAGTCGCGCGCTCGACACGCACGATCTCCGCAGAGGGTTGCACGCGCTCAGACCCAATCGCACTCTCGCCTGCATTTCGCGCACTCGACACGCGCGATCTCCGCAGAGGGTTGCGCGCGCACCGCGTCAATCGCACTCTCGCCTGCATTTCGTGCACTCGACACGCACGATCTCCGCAGAGGGTTGCGCGCGCTCAGGCCCAATCCCACTCTCGCCTGCATTTCGCGCGCTCGACACGCACGATCTCCGCAGAGG